GTCAGAAGAAATGACAACAAAACGTACGGTATTGAGTTGAAGAAAATCATTTCTGTAAACTGTAACACAAATTTGTGACTCAGTAGGCACATCGATAGTGAGATAACAGTCGGTTAGAAAACACTTATTGGCTCAAAAACAGCATTTAGTAAAATTGTTCGCTGGAGTACACTAGTGTCGTACAATTATAACTACGCATAAACAAACACGTCGTGGTGAATCGTTCGCTTCACAATCCACTGGACTGTTCTCGAAATGACATCATGTATTTCCCCCATTGATCACTGGTAGGTAGAAGAACGCGCACATAATGTAGACGATGGAGTGAAGGATCTATACCAGTGAAATGAGTTGAAAGGTCATGTTCATTACTTTTTACATAGAGAACAATATGTAGATATTATTAATATCTACCTCACGTATGGTGGTGCTGCAGTGTTCGTTTCTGTCTACTAATACATATATTCGAAAAGTACAGAGCTTCTCTGCGATGACGGGAGTAATCCCATAATGCACATGTACTTAGCGAGGAACGCTTGTACGCCATATGTATCGCATTCCAGCAACTTGAATGCTAAGACTTCGTGGAATCCAATGTGACGGATGAGTGGAGATATATGGGGAATCCTAAAATGCAGTACGTTCCATTTATATATAGGCAATTTGACACTTATGCGGTCAACTGGATAGTGAATGAGATTAAATGACAGTGTTTGTTTATTTGGTAAATGGTGCCATGGTTGATACAAATGTACAGTATAAAACAGATTCTCGATTTGTGCAATTGTTGTAACCCAGGAATCAACAGTTGCAGAAATATGTGACGTAATCGTGATACACTGTATAATACTAGTACAACTATATAAAATGTGTCATAATAGTCCTTTTTAAAATTTGCTCACCAAACAGTCAGCGATGGCGAAAAACAGTCAAATTGATTTTGTTTTGTTTTCACGGTCACCCCGTTTTCTTGGCAATACAATACAATTAACAACTCAAAAAATGTGTTTTTTATTATTAAAAACACACGAAAAACTCTATGCACCTATATGTTCTGCCCATCCCATCTATTCCAAAAAGTGGGCCACTATCTATCAAGGACATTGTACTCGTCATTTACGACAACGATTCCTCATCTGATCTGATGTGGACAATTTAGCACACCATTTACGCGTACAGCTTGATCCGGAACTTGATACACGACGTGTAATACTAAGGTAAGTGTGATCAACATTATGTATACAAATACGTAATCTAATTTATCAAATGATACTGAATGTTAGACAGATACATACGAAAAGGTCAACTCTAGCAAAGAGGACACATGCTATTTAGATATTAGTATGTTATTACATTACCACATGGAAACGAGAGAGCGTTCAGGTCAAAGGTCATATGAATCGTATAGGATAGTTTCTCATTACGATGTACACAACACGACGAATTAGAAGCCTACGCATATTTTTTGAGAAAGTTGGTAATAAATCACATCATGAGAATTTTCATTGCTTTATTATGAAATATCATGGAGCTATTGTCCCATGGCACCATGAAATAGTATTCTTATGTTTGTTAAAGTGAGGTATTTTGGATGTCCCATTTTTTTTTAGAACAATTACATTTTTTTATACTTTTTAAAACACAGATTTTTTAAATAATTTAGGACAACAAAAAGTATCCCATCATTCACAATATATAATTTTTTTCAGCCTATGTCACCAGACTACAGTTTGAGATATGACGTAATATCTATGCCATAGGAACCTATAGTAAAAACGTTATAATACTGACAAAATGACCTAAATCCACCCTATCCACTAATTTATAATACAACTATCATTTTCTCAAAAATTAGACTGGTAACCCCAACTTTGTAACTCAATATCCTTATATTACCCGGAAGTACAATTTATTGTAAAATGAATCATAAATTCTGGATACTATTTACATTTATAAACAGACTTCCACTTTAATGGTTCGTCATGTGATTTGATACGAGGTACTTAGTGTACGTGTCGCTGCAAAATACGAACTCGGTGACATAATGACGTAATGAGTTAACCATATCCAGTCTACCACAACTGTATGTTGTTATTTAATGTTTATACTAATGGTATTCTCTCCATCTTAATATTGTATGTATTAGATTACGATTAAAGTGAAATGAGATTGTTATTGATAGCAAACGAGTTCACTGCTTGCACCGACCACAAAGGGATGATGTCAGTCGATGTTACGTTGTCATCAGAATTAATAGAATTTTTTTTTTACTATTTAGAATAAACAGACGTGTTTCAAGTACTACGTTTTAACCGACCACTAAAGATGCTGATATACGTGTCTTAGTCTTCATAAAAAAACACAATTATTCTATGTTTTTAAGATACACACTGCCCCTTGCACTGCGCAACAAAAGTTTAGCTGTTGCCATGTTCACACCAATGGAGATATGCCTGCCTCATAGTGTCTCATAGTAACCATGGCAGGACAGGCTGGGAGATGCGACTAACGTGTTTTACGCCGAATTTTACAAGTTTCAATAAAACAATTAACTCGACAGATTATGTAAAATACTGTGACATGTCGGAATGAAATGTAGTACGATCGGCAGTTATGAAATAATTTCCTGGTAAAGTTAATACTCACGAATAATTATAATAATAAACAGTCATTGTAGTATCGTTAATATCTAATTAAATGTCAATTACTAGTAAGTTCTGAAGTACTATTCACGTAGCTGTGTGGCCCCACATTTATTTTTCTATTTTCGAGTCTACGCTCTGGTGGGTGATTACAATACTAGAAATGAGAATCAATATTAAATAAGTTTGAACGATCTACATACCTCATGCGTCTAGAAGGTCATAGTCATTCTCTTGAACGTAAACGTTATCAAACACATCCTCTAAAAGTTGAATACTGAAAACGTTTAGTTACCGACGCAGCATTAGAGAGTTTACAAACATCATTCTGTGCCTGTGCTACTGTGGTGGCGCTATTCATTCCGCGGGACAGTTGCACTACTCTAGATGTATCGTATTTCGTAAACTTGAATGCTAACACTGCTTGGAATTCAATTGATGTCACAAAAAGTTATGTATGACAGCCGGCAACGAAAGGAATGAAATGGCATGATTTACGTCAATAGCGTTGCTATGGTATATTTTAATATTTCAAATAAATAATCTGAATTGAATACTGGTGTTCGTTTATTTAAAATGTATATATGATGTTGCAATTAAATGGACAAATCACAGAGGAGAAGTGGCTAAATGCAACTGTCTTTCAGAGGTTAAGGATCACTCTTTTAAAACTTTATTTCTGAACATTTTCTATCGTATACTTTAATGGTCTACCTACATTATGCGTTGGTATATATTCGTCTGTGTATCAAATTTAATATATCAACTTTCTGATTTATTTATCTAATATTTTGGTGTTGGATCACACCAACCCTGGTAAATTAATGGACATAAACTTATGTTAAATAATTAATGACGATTTCAAGTTGATTTGTGAATGAGGTTTTGTTAAACACTATAAAGTAAATTGACAAGATCTTAGCAATACTTACTTGTGTGTGCACGTTGTTACTGTGAAGATCGTCCCGATCAATGTTATACAATATTATAGTTGAATCGCCAAAGTCGCCATGTTCGACGTAGGTCCCATGCGACGAACGCGGCGCTACGACTATTACGATTCAACGCTGTCTAACTATGGGTATTATGGGAAACAATCAACTTAGACGTCAAGCGCACGTTTTTCCTCGTAGCCAGTAGCAGTTTAGCCTAATTTCATTGATTCTTAAACAGTTGTTATGCACAATTTATGCAATTAAAAACTCCCATACAATTTTATTACTTGAAATGGGGCTACATATACGAGGTACGAACATGCATTTTTTCAGTATTGTCGTTTGATAGCGTAATATTGATTGCGTAATGCATTGGACACATCTGATCATTCATTCGATGAAAAAATAAAACTCTATAATACGCAAATTGCCCTGGTTGTGTTGGTACGTACAATAATAATCACTGCTCATGCGTATTAGTGGTTTTGAATTTTCATCCAACGAATACTGTTTTTAATAAATCACAATCCAATTTTGTTCACAGTATGGGACACCAAAAACATCTATGTTTTCTTCCATACTACTTAATCACGTTTTAATTAATAAAGCGATGTGCACTAAATATTTATTAAATTTACAGTAAAGATACAGTTTTAACAAATGGTCTGAAATGGTGAGGTAATTCACGGGAAGGCAACGGTGAATGTGGGATCGTATCAACGGACTCCGAAGCAAATGAATTAGACAGTATATGTATTCTGATTCAATGCTGTGATTTGAATCTGTGGTCGTTTTAATATATACAATAACATTGATACATAATGTATGTATACTAACGACTGGACTGGTAACTTGATGATTGTATATGGTGTTCAGCCTGCATTTCTCCTGCGACCCACCGCCCACTAATGACGATCACGGAAGTTTGGCCAGGACGCCATCATCGTCTTACTT